GCGTCCCAGAGGGGTCCGCTCGGCGAGAGGGGAGGGAGTAGGAAATTAGGACAAGCTATAGATAAATGCAAAGGAATTAGTTAGATCGTCCCCTCTCCTTTCAATCTCCAAAACGGGGATAATGAGGAAGGAGAGTTTTCTGCAGTCCCCTTGCCTGGATCCCGGGGTCCCTGCGCTGAGCCCCGCTCTCCATGAGCGCTTGGGCTCCGACTGATGGGGCCTAGCCCGTCCTGTCCACTCCACGGAGGATGAGCAGCCGGCCGGGACCTCTGAGCTCTTTGGTCTGAGGGTCCCTGGAGCACAGGACGTGTCCTGCCACGGTGCCCCGACCACACCGCGGGTGGGAGCAGAGAGCTGCCACCAAGGGTTTGCGCTGCCCCGTGTCGGGGGCGGAGGTGCGAGACTGGCGATGGGCGTTGCGGCAAGAGCTCCGACAGCGGGGAGACGTTACACCAGATTCCAGGGCAGGACTGGAAAGTGCAGACGGGGGAGCGCGGTGCCTTCAGCACTGCGAAGTTCCGCCAGCCCGCGGTCGGCACTGCCCGTGGGCAAACAGGTCCTATCAGGGTATGGGAGCACGTTCAATCGAGAGATTCACAACCGGAGAGGTCGGTGCAGTGGGGCTGATCTCGGCCGTGCAGACTGAGGTCAGGGAGACTCCTCAAGACGGATGTTTTCCTTCTCCGAATTTTTAATCGGAAAGAGTTAAATGGAATTAAAGGAATGAAATAAATATCTGAGGAGGAATGCTACCCCGGCATGTTACAGAAGGTCGGTAGCGAGGTCACTCACACAAACATAACTCGCACCCCTCATACAAGTGCTCTGGCTTCCGTTGTGCGACCTTCTTGCGGGTCTTTGCCTGTGCGGGGCCCGGCGCTGCGGCTGCGCCGAGGGTTCGGCAGCCCGTGTGAGGCGCTCGGGGCCAGCCCACACCTGAAAGCCATCCAGGATACAGGCAGCTCCTCTGCTACCAGTTTATGCCAGGATGAGCGGCTCCAGCAGCGGCAGCCGCAGCCAGACACCACATGCTTCTCTTCTCCTGACTGCCCGGAGTGGGACACATCTGGCGGATAATGGGCAGTAACTGCAGCTGGATTATGTCAGGGCCGTGCTTGGATCATATCTCGTGCCAAAAACGGGAAAAAGGCTGGGAAGTTGCATGGAGCCTCATGACGTGAGGGCGGTACCGCAACACCAGTCTGAACCGCTCCAAGGCTTTGTCCTTGGCCTCTACAGAGAAGCGAATTTATTGCTCCCGCGGGAGCGATGAAGACATATGCAGTCATGTTTCCAGTGCTCTCAAACATCGCTGTGACAAGTACCAAAGAAAATGAGAGCTTTTACATATTCAACGCACTTGTAACGAGTGCAAAATTCACGCTGAGTGGCAAAAGAAAAAAGTTGTTATCAGGGTGCTGTCCCATATCCCCCAGGCCCTTCAGTCTCCTCTATAGCTTCTGTTCTCAGTCCTGTTGCTGGACATACCCTCTATCTCAAGGGTCTGCCTCAGGCAGGTCTGCCTCCCTGGATAATCTTGTTCCCCCTGCGGACATCCTCATCCAGCAGGCTGTTGGGCAAAAGACATCCCTCTGTCCCTCAGTTATGGGTTATCTGATTCCTACCAGAGTGAATAGTGGCAGCTGAGGTCTCTCCCAGGTCTGTCCCCTGCAGCTTGCTGGTCAGCTCTGCAGAACTCATAGGAACTCAACATCTTGGAGACTCTGGTGGAGCTATCATGTCGGGTGGCTGGTTTGTATTGATCGTAGAGTTTATGAGTTATGAGAGAATGAGGGTAACTTGCGGAAAGAAAAGCACAGCGACTGCATAATCCTTATTTCCATAGAAAACTAACTCTAAGAGGAATATTAAATACGGAACTGAACACTGCTTGTCTTGGGCACTGAGTGAGGAAAAACTGCACTTCACGCTTTGTGGGAGGAAAAAATGGATAGGAAGGAGAAGGAAAAATAAAAAAAGAAACCCCCAACACATCCTAATGTAAATTTGCCTAAATTTCTAACTGTTGAATGTTGCACATGGAAACCCTACAATACATATACTGCAAGTTAGGGTATGCTCAACTTCCACTCCTGTTACACTGACTTGGACTGCCTAGTGCTAAGTTCAGGTTGAGTTGGTTGTACCAGCCTTTTGAGATGTGTCAGGGCAAACCATTGCACCATTCCTCTTTTCCAAATTTTTTAGCATGAAACATTCACTTTAAAACAAAATGAAATCTGGTGGTTACAGCAACTGTCTCAACAACAGAGCCTGTGTGCAATAATCATATGCCACTAGTACCTCTCAACCCTTGAAAGGTACATACAAAACCGTTGATTACTATAAGACATAACTTCATTTTCCTTTTATTTTTTATTTTTAAGAAATTATTGAATACTGCAGTGAAGAGACTCCTTGTGTATCAGAGGGAAATACCAGTTTATTCACTGAGGTGCGTGTTTCCACAGAGTTACACTGAGAACACATACACTCTGCCAATTGTGTCTCTACAGTTTTAAAATATCTTTGAGTTTTCCAGTATCCCTAAGTCTTAATTTCAAAGACTGTCATGCTTTTTCTCACCCAGCAAAGCTTTGTTTTCCCAGGCTGCTGCAGGCCTGTTAAGTCCCCCCTCTTACATAATGGGATGACACTGCTGAGAGGGTGGGCAGGACTTCTTGTGTAAATAAGCTCTCAGAGCTTCGAGGTTGGAAAAGACCCATTGTGATTACAGAAGCAAGCTAGACACAGGTGAACTGAAGCAGAAGAACGATAGTTTCCAGAGACCACCTCAGCAGATTTTAGGGAAAGAGAATGCAACCCATTCAGCCAGACCCTCCATGAGTTTGCCTGGGAGGATATCACAAGGACTTCAAGCCTTTTACCCTCTGGTCTCCTCAGGCTGGCAAGTGAGAGGACTGCCACTTCGGTAAACAACATCCCCAGATGCTCATGGCATCTGGGCTGCTGACCTCTGTACTCAGCTAAGGTAGTGAGATGGAACAGTGAGATTTTGTATTTGTTTTTTTTAAGACCAGGCTAGAAACATTGGTCCTGCTTTTTCTTTCCCTTCCCATCACACTGTGTTTGTGCTGGACACTGCCTCTGTCCCAAGCCCCAAAGCTGGTCCAAGCTGTGGGGCAGTGCCCACACCAGGCCCTCTCTATCCTACCCCAGCCCTGTTCGTGCACCTGGCCTCTCCTCCAAGACAGGCAAGCAGTGCCAGTGTCGGTGCGGTGCGGCTGCATCTCTCTCCAGCATTCAGAGTGCTTACAGGCAAGTCAAATTGGAGATTTACCTCTGAGCTGAAGCTCTGAAGTTAGGGATCAAACAAGAGAAATGTAGGGATTGTTGAGAGAATTATTTACCAAAAAGATTTTGCCACCGTTTTGGAGGTTGAAGTCAAAAGTGTAGATTGCATTAGAGGGATTGTGTTTCCACCCAAGGAAAAGAAGTGAGCGGGGAATAACATAGCGTGCAAAAGGCACTTCTGATTTGCTCATATGCTGTCTGCCAGTATGGCAGGAATTAGAAAAAAAGTTTTAAAGAGGCTTATTTGGGACTGACTAGCTCCAGCTCCATCCTGCTCTGCACCAGCCATGTTCAAGGAGCTTGGGATGGGCCGTCCAAGGCAGAGGAAGGATGGGGCCTGTGGTTAGGTGCTGCACAAGTGGGTTTCTCCTCAGATCTGTTCCCTAAGCCGGGCCAAGCACTTGAATGAAATCAACACCGAAAACACTGGACACTGTCTTGGTGCCTGAGACAAAAAAAAAAAAAAAAAAAAAAAAAAAAAAAAAAAAAAAAAAAAAAAAAAAATCAATTATTTCTGTGTAACATCGCCCTGGAATAACATAAGCAGAGCTTCAGTCTGGCGAAGGGCCAATGTACGCAGGCAACCTCCTCGGAGGGGGAAGAGGTGGGTGGTGGTGCTGAATGGAGCAACCGGGCCGGGCAGCATCGCCACGGCGGGACACGGGGCGGTGCGGGGAATCCTGGCGCGCAGCCCCTCGCTCCAGTCCCACTACCAGGATCGGCGGTCCTGGGCCAGTGGCAGGCGGGTGTCCCCGACGCTGTGTTGCCGAGCGAGCAGACGGGAGAAAGCTGTCAGTCGCCAGGAGGGCATGCGTTGGCTCTGCTTATGAAGGAACACAAAGCTGCTGGGCTCAGAGGACAAGGCTGCATTTGCATTCCGGCTGGAGCGGAGTCCCCCCCCCTTCTCTACCTCGCAGCCGGCCCGAGTCGCAGGGGAAGAGAAAACATATTCCTGTTAGTAGCCGATGGCTTTTATTTTTGCTCTTTACGGAGATCTGACACATATACAGCGATGCTTTCACCGTACAAAGAACTGTGAAGAAACGCACCTTGCCCCAGCCAGTCCCCTTCGCTGCTGGGACCGGGCTGGTGCTTGGAGGTGGAGGTGGGTGTGGGGGGATAAGAAGAAAAAATTAAATTCTCGTCTGATCTCATTTATTTAAATAAATATAAATATAATTTTTATATAAAACTATTCACAGACAAACAGTCGTTCCAAACCCAAACGACCGATCTTTACGTCTTTTCTTATTTTTGTTAAGAAGTCCGCCCAAAAAGTTCTCTACAGGTTTTAGTTTGCTTTTCAGTTTTTGATGCCTCGCTTATCGGTTCCAAATGCGTTTGTTTTTTGCCTTTAAATTGCTTGGGGGCAGATGGAGGAAGGCACCCTGGGCCACGCGAGTCTTGTCCCATGTTACATGTTAGGAAGAGCAGGTGCTCTGTCCTGGGGTTACATAAATAACGTTTTAGTTGAACTCTCACGACTAAAACACTTACATTCCGAAAATATATTTATATATCTCTTTCTATTACTGCAAAGGGATGACAGTTAATCTCCCTGGCGAGGGCCAGGGAGGGCAGGTTAGCGGGCTGCCGTCCCTGGGCAGAGGTGCCAGGTGAGCCGCCGTGCCGCCACCCCGCTCCGGGCTGGGACCCGGCGGCGGCAGCGGAACTCCGAGCCGGGCTCATAACGGGGAGACCTCTTTATCCTCTGTAGCCGATGAGGGGGATAGAGATTCTTCGTCCTCCGACCGGGGGTAGTGCCCCTGGCTGGTGCTGCACTTGCAGCCCCCGTGAGAGTTTCGCTGGGTGCCTTTGCCTTCTTTCTTGTGCTTCACCCTCCTGTTTTGGAACCAGATTTTCACTTGCTTCTCGGACAGGTTCAGGTACGTGGCTATCTCGATCCTCCGCAGCCGGGACAGGTACATGTTGGAGGAGAATTCCCTCTCCAACTCCAAGAGCTGGGTGCTGGTAAAAGCTGTCCTCATACGTTTCCCGTTTTGAATTTGGCTGGATTCGGACCCTCCTGGATGGGAGAGAAGCGCGAACTTCAGCGTGACGGGGGAACGGGGAAAGGGGAAGAGGGAGAGAGAGAGAGAAAGAAAGAGAGAGAGAGGGAGAAAGAGAGAGAGAAGAAGAAAAGACATTCTCCCTCAGCTTTCCGACCCGGGGCAGCCGCTTTCCCTCGGGGGACCCCCTTCTCCCACTGCCCCCCCTTCCCCGGCGGCCACAGGGCTCCTACCCATGCCGAGGCAGTGAAACCTCCGGGGGTCGCTGACGCTGTAGGTGGTGGCGGCGCAGGCCAGGTGGGTGGATGCGTAGGGTGTCCCAGGGCTGCGGCGGCGGCACCGAGGCGCGGGCGGCGGTGCTGCGCGGGTGGTGAGCGTTGACCGGTCCGCGGGCGCACTGGCCTCGCACGCCTGGGGAACCTCTTCGTGCAGTCACCGGAGAATGAAGATGCACGCGGCGCCTTTTCGTCCGCGTGTGCGACCCGCTCGTTGGGTCGAACTGCTCGCGCAGCTTGCAACCGGGAGGAGTGCAGGTGCGAGGTTGACACAGAGCGGGCACACGCCAGAAGGCGCCGCTCTTTCGGGACGGGCAGCCCGGGCCCGACACCGACATGACGAGGGGAGAAGGCATGCTGAGAGGGATGAAGAAGTCCTGGCCGTGATGATGCTCAGGCAGGGACGGAGCCGGCCTCGAGGAGTCTTTGATGATTAAGGAGTCGACGTAGAAGGAGCGGGACATTGCGGAGGGCTGCGAGGCCGGGGACGGCTCTCCGAAAGTCGGGATTTTCCTGCTTGGCCAAGTTGCCACTGAAGTCCTGGCGAGTCGAGAAGGTGCTTATGTTTGAGAGCTGAACAAAAGGGTCCCTGGAGAGGGCTGGTCTTAAAGTTCCCCCGCCTGGATCCCCTGCGCCGGGGTTTTATATCAACTATTTAAACACGTGATGGCTGAAAGCCTCGCAGATCTAAATCTCCCCGGGTTCCAGGCCGGCAGGAGAGGTTTGCCAGGTGGGGGGGGGGTGGCAAAGCGGGTAGGGGGGCGGTAAAGTGTGCGTGTTTGCTCGTTGCCCGATGACTTCACTCCTTCGCCTCCGCCTCAGATAAGTTATAGCAGCAGAGAAAGAGGGGAGGGGGTGGCTGCCCCACGGCCGCGTTACACGTCGCGCTCGCAGGCATATCCCCCTCTCAACAAACCCGGGGTGTTGGGGTTTTCCCCGAGAAGAATGCTCCTTTCCTTCTCCAGGAGGGAACAAGAGGTGAGAACAGGTGATGCGTTGAAAGATGCGGATCAACGCCTTCCCACTCACACCCAGTCAAATAACACCCAAGGAGCCGTGGATCCCACGGAAGCCTGGGACTAACATCTTTCTCCAGTCTGGTCCACTCTCTGCACTCAAGACTCCTTCAGGAGGCCCTTTCCGCATCAGAGGAGCCAGGGACACAGATGCAGACATGGATATAAAGTTAGGGATGGCTCGCGTTAGTGTGTCTGCGCATACATATACATGTCGGGTGGGTTGAGTGTGGTTTGTTTTTTTTTTTCCCCCTCGCCCTTTTCACCCCGAGTGAATCTTGTCAAATTGGCAATTACTGCAACGGACAAAGCCTTCAAATATCTGGACACTTCTCAGCCAAATGGTATCAAAACGGAAAACTTCCAAATGAACTTCCCCATCCGCTCCAGGACCGCAGTGCGCAGCGCTAATGAAAAGCGAACATGTCAGGGAGGGATTCTTTGATCTCCACCAAGTTTGCTGAAGCAATCACTCAAAGTAAAATTGGATAAACAGCTAAATACGGTCGGTGGCTCCGAAGCATTTCAGAGTGCATTAAAAAGCCAAGGTATTCGCAGATTTTCCAATGACCTGTTTTATGGGAGTTTAAGATGACACTTGTCATTAATAGAAGGGCGATCGTATTCTTCTTTGGCAGATGCGAAGCGCCCGTTAAAACCGAGTACGAATCCCATCCCACTTGATATGGGAAAGGGAAGCGACAATTGTGCTCTAAAGCAGAAAACACAGACTACGCCTGATTACCAGGCTGAGCATAGTCTCGGGAGCGCAGCAATAGCCGAAACGTGTTCAGAAGCCGTTGTCGTGATCAAGGGCCGGATCGGACCACGGACATCCTATCAGCCCTCCCGCACACCCACTCTCCCGCTGTTAAAACCCAGCAAAATAAAACCGCCTTCTTGGTGGAGCCGGCATTTCGGCGCCCGAGACCAGGGAGGCTCGGCTGTGCAACTCGAACCTTGCTAAGAGAAGGGCCAGGTCTCACCCTGCTGTGCTGTCCCGTCCCCAACCTGCCACGGGACAGTGCCACTGTGCGGGCCCCTCTGAGCAGGGGTCGGCTGTCCCCCAGCCCTGCTCGCCTTTCCCCCCCCGCACCTCCCCGAGCATGCACGATGCAACAGCGTTTTTAGGGACACTCCGCACTCAGCAATCTGAGGATTTATGGATGGCAATTAAAGTTTTATGAATTGCAGCTGAGGCTGGTTATGAAGCTATTTGAATGTGATTAGAATTCAATTAGAAAGTGTTTACCGGCCGGCGGGGGCTCCGGAGTGTAAACAGGCAGTTATTCCAGCAATGCGCTAATCCTGCGTCTTGTGACAACAATTAGGGGCTCGCGGGTTTTAGGCCGGTCGGCTCCGACCTCACCTACTTTTCCCCAAACCGCTGTCGAGGGCCCAGCCGAGGCCCCGGAGCCGTCAGACCCCAGGGACTGTTGCCCGTGCCGCCGCCGAGGCCCTGGGATCGGTGGCCCCGGGATACGCGGGGGCTCTGCCTCCTGAGCTCCGGTGGGGCCGGTGAGATGCTAGTCACGGTCACCGTGGACAGGCATGGGCCTCCTTTGTCTGGCTCCTCCCGTTTGAAACACTACTTACCTGGAGAAGATTTGAGTTAATATCTGCATCTTATTTTATTTTATTTTTATTCATGTATTACTTTCCTTTATGAGAGGCTATTCTGGAAAATGATAATAATAACAACAATAATAATATAACCCCAAACGTCAGTGGAAAAAGCTGTCTGCAGTGATGGAGTGGATCTGGGGAAGGGGCTGTCGTAAGGGAAGGCAGACAGAGTAAGAGTCAGATCAAAATTGCAATTTGTAATTGTTATAATAAACCAAGTGCAGTGATAAAAGAGAGAGAGTGAGAGAGGGGAAAACACTAAGAAAAACCCACCCCTGAAAGCTAGAGCAAGAAAAGAAGTCATTTGAAAGCAAAGACATCCCAAACCAGGCGGAATGATGCAAGGCGTGCGCCCACATCACATCGGCCTCGTTACAATTTTATTTTTCAATAATTCTGTCCGATAAAATTTCATTGTCCATTAAGTAATCCCCGAAATGAGAGCTCTTATGAGCCTATAATGAGCTCTAATTGCTACGACTGGGAGAGCCACGTGGAAGGATTTAGAAGGTATTAAGCAGTTGGGTACAGAGCACAGGCTGTTACCTAGCCATTACTTTCATAATTCAAGGAGAAAATTAGTCCTTTTAAGGGAAAATCCTTTGATTCCCTTCATTCTGCTCGGGGTGACAGAGTATAGCTTTGTCTGCCTTTAGTTCAAGACAGTGTAACAAATGAGAATGTAACGAAATTGCCCCCTTTTGAAAGTGGAGCAGTTCAAAAAGAACATCAGAGCCGCTCCCCTGGTCCGCCGAGCGCAGGACTGGGTGCTGGTCCCTCTTTTCTTCCAGATGTCTCTAACACCTTTATGTAGAAGAGATTCACGGCTTAAATGACAAAGCAACTCTTTCCCTTCCCTCCCCCAACCCCCGCAGCTCTCGGCAGAAGAAAAAGCCATGTCCGCTCGGCGAAAGCAACGGCTTTTAGGCGCTCATCTCCCCTGAGTTCACGGGAGGAGCTGCTTCCGTGGAAAGCGCCGCAGCCCGGGGACAAGTTTCGACCAGGAAAAAAAAAAAGGCCAAAACAGCAACCCCAAAACAACCCCCACAGAGTAGCCGTAGTCGCAAACAGCGCTTGGCAGGATGCACCCCGGGCTGGGGCAGTTTCCGTACGGGAAAGCCCCGCTCAAAATAAAGCCGTGCGTGGGTAAGCGAGGGGCCGCGGGCTCCTGCGCTATAATCGCGTTTATTCGCTACTCTAACATTGATTTCCTATTACTTTCCAAAGTGATAAGCGATCTTGACGCCGGCTGTTCTGAAGTGAACGCAAGCAAAAGACAGGACTTGCCCCCAGCTCCCATTAAGGAGGTCATTATAAAAGCGTGAACAAGTCTATTAATGTTTTATTGAAAGCGCATCGTTAACTTGTATCCATCCTTTTCTAAAAGTGGCATTGTGATATTGCTGTCTGTGGCACATCTTACCCAATATAGCCCGAGATTTCTCCATTATCTGTAACCAAGCAACACTTTCTGAATACCAAAAATTGAAAAGAACCGCTTAGTCTTCAAGAAAGTCCTCAATAATAGTGGAAAAGAACAAAGATCCAGGAGACAACAAAATGCCACAGGGGTGACTTTTCATGAGCAATTATCTCTCATTAATCAGAAGAACAGCTGCAATATTAATTTTCTCTCTTTCTTCCTCTCTTTTCACAGTCCCCAACATTTGAATAATCATAAATTTTGATTTCATGGAGCAGCAACATTGCCAGAGACTTCGAGACACAAGCTACCTAGGCAGGGCGCACGCTTTGCACATAGCTCTTATTTTAAGGCTGCCAAAGAATAAAGCGAAGAAAAGAAAAGAGGGGAAAAGTTTGGTCTGAGTTGCTTTCCCCCCTCCCTTGGCCTCGGAGCACGGATTAAACCAGCAGCCCCTTCCCTCCACCCCTGCCGCTTTCACTCAGGGAAAGCAACGGGCGAAAGTACCGAGTGTCTGCGCCAGCTTCAAGCGTGGGAGTTTCAACAACCTCGCTGTCCATTTAACTTCCAAACATGAAGCCAAGCGTTGTAGATCTGTCCAAAGAGACAATCTTTGGGCGTAACACGCATTGTGAGACATCAAAAGGCCCTGGCGTTATGCGCACTGAGAAGCGCATTCAGCACGAAGGGTGCAATGCCTGTCTTTTCAGGGGCTCAGCCGCGGATTGTTTAACAAGTGACGTCGCCGCGGCAAGAAAACCACGCTCCTCCAAAGATAAGGATGTAACATTAAATCTCGCTTTTTTGGATTTCAAAGAATCTCATTAAGGGCAGGGGCTGGCGGGTTCACTGCCGCGCCGGGGATGGGAGTCGTGCCCCGCGGATGAGAGCGCGCAGTGCCGCCTGCCCAGCTCCTCGCTGCCTGGGGAAACAGGGCAGAGCCGAGGCCGAGACCCCACCACCCCTCAAACTCTGCCCATCTTCGGGCACCAGCCTTTCTCTCCTCGGACTCCGGAAGGCAGGGACGTGGAGCCTCCCCCCAGAGACCGGCTCGCAGCCCGGCAGCGGCCAGTGGGCTCACCCAAGAGTTTGAGGGCTGACTGCGGGCTGAGGAGCGTGGAGACCACTTCTTGCCCTCCACTGCAGATGCAGATGCCCTGTGCCCTTCCCTTCCGTGGGAGATTTCCTTTGCTTCCATCCTCTGTCATAAATTATCCCACCTCGACTTGGCACGGCAGCCCCACCCCGACTCCGGGAAATCAGGCCGTATCCGAGGAAATGAAGAGATGCCCCTGCAGTCAGGAAGGACAGGCCCCTGGCTGTCCTTCCCGGGACTGCCGAACCCCTCTTGCCCCAGTGCCCTCCTGCACCTCGTGGAGCAGGGGTGGTGGAGAGTGGT